GTTCAGGACCCATGGCCTATGGAGTTCCTCATGGTTTTATCTCATCTTTCATGCTCTTCAGTTCCATGAAATTTCTGGGAAACAATCAGATTTTTTGGCATGCAGCGGTGTCAATATGATCCTTCAGATTTCAAGGAGGTAGCAGAGGTCCTAGATCTGTCATGGCCTGGGTGTGGGATGGCAAAATGGAGATCTAGTTCAGACAAGACAGACATACTGTTAGTCTGCAGGAAAACTGGTCCAGAACTGGAATATGTCTCATCTTGAAGTGTTTCTGGACTCAGTTTGCTTCTGGAAGGTCAGGTGTCAGCTATTGCCAGGAGCTTATTTTCACAGTTTCAGCTAATACAGTATCTGCATCTTTTCCTGGAGAAAGCTAAGCTTAGGCACTGTCAAATATTGGCTACATTCTGTTTCAGTACTCCTGAGCTATGGTTAATGGTTATGTGGGACAGCATCTTATTGATGTTGAAACTCCCTCCCTATATTTGGACTCCAGGATTCAGCTTTCACTGTTTATATATAAGATAAACATTCATACTGGTAAGTGTTGTTGTTGCTGTTAGTCGCAAAGTCATGTCCGACCCATTGCGACCCCATGGACAACATTCCTCCAGGCCTTCCCGTCCTCCACCATCCCCCAGAGTCCACTTAAGCTCACGCCAACTGTTTCAGTGACTCCATCTAGCCACCTCATTCTCTGCTGTCCCCTTCTTTTGCCATCTATTGTTCCCAGCATCAGGCTCTTCTCCAGTGAGTACTTTGAGACAAAGAGGAATGATTCATTTTTATTATACTTCCCGTAGATCCATGATGTTGCCCAGCTTAGCACCTTTCTGCACAAGGCTCTTTATTGCTCTTTCTCCTTTTAGTTTCATCATAGTATTGCAAACTGAGCTCTGTACAGAGACTTTTCCTGCTTTTCCATTATATGAAATCTCTACGTCAATCCGTGCTATTGCAGAATAGCTCAAATACACAAGGAGGAAGAGCACTATATTCCCCGTTCTAAAATAAAAACCTAATTTCGCTGCTCAAAAAAGAAGAGAAAGGAATGTGCTCTGAAAAAAGGAGGAGCAAAACTTGAAGGATCAGATCACTAGCTAAAGAGCCCATAGGCAACAGTGGGTAAGGAATCACAAGGGCACAACGAATGCCTTGTGCAGTGGGGGAATGTGACCCTTCCGATGTCCTTGACTGAAGTGCCCATACTGGCTAGGGTCAGGGGGATATGCAGTCCATCAATATCTGGATGGCCACAATTAGCCCACTCCTGATCTAAACACACTTTTTTTTTTAAAGCTATATTGAATATACGCAGGTATCTTTCTGTATATGCCAGGTTGTTCTCATGAAGTAAGGAGTAAGTGGAATTAATTCTGCATGTAGGGACTTGATCCTTTTGTCCTGAAGTGCTGCAAATAAATGCTACGTGGAAGTGATGTACCTGTTTCAGCAATGGGCCTTTGCATTCCCTGTGGCATTGCTTTTCTCTGGTGCCAGAAATACAGCCACAGAGATCAGCCGGTCATGTTTTGTATTCTAAGCTGCCTGGAGAGAACAGGTGATCCTATACTGTGCATGTGAAGGCGAATAAATACATTTTCCCACTTTAAGCCCTGCAGCGTAATCGCTATAGTCTAACCAAAAATGCAGGACTTAAAACAGGGAAGGGTATAACAAGACATATCTGACTTTTAGTTCTGATAATCAAAATACTGAAATGTCAGCATGTGTAGAAAGGAGAAAAATGAAAAAGGCCACTAGCAATAGTCATTTTTCCAGTCACTCATATGGCAATAAAATCTGGATGACAACTGGGCAATGCTGCTCAGTATCTGTCTTCACCAGAAAAGATGTGAGCAAACCTGTTTAAGATCTGCTTCCACATGCTAAGCATGCCCAGATGATAAGGACCCTGCTCCAGGGCCTGGCCTTCTCTCCCCTGCTCCCCTGCTGACTTCAGGCTTGAGAAAAGACAATGACAGAAGACTGCATAAGCAAGCAAGCCTTGAGAAGGTATCATGATCTAGGACAGCCTTCTTCGACCTGGTGGCCTTCAAAGGCATTTGGCCCACAGCTCCCAGAATCCGCCTTCAGCAAGGCCATCAACTGAGAATTCTTGGTGTTGCAGTCTAAACATGTCTGGAAGGCACAAGGTTGGAGAAGGCTGATCTAGGGCCGAATTGCCATGTTCCGTCACCCTTGCTTGCTTGCTTGCTTGCTTATTCATTCTCTAACAGTCAGTGGGAGTGGGTGCAGTGGTGATGTGGGAACTGAATCAGAACTGTGGTGTGTGAGGAGGAGGGCTTCCCTTTTTTCCGCTTCACTGTGAGCCTGACAGGAATTAGCCTCTCCCCACACCTGCTGCTCGCAATAAAAAAGTCTCAGCCAATTCTTCCATGTATGACACCAGCTATTTGTTAAAGAAAATCAGCCATACAATGGCAAACCATGCAACAATGTTACCTAGTTTGATCCTGGTCAATAATGCGATCTAGTTAGATACTCTAATGTTCAAATGCCAGCTGCCAAAGCCTTGCCTTGTTAATGCATAAATCTGTAGTTAGAAACAAAGGACAGGAAATCCTGGTTGCTTTGTTGATGAGTACAGAACATTCATTAATTTATTATAATAAAAATTAGTAGGACATTCAGTGAACCTAAGTGCCAGGAAGTGTAAAGCAAACAAATTGCAATACCTGTCAACCCACAGCACAAATTGACTGTGTGGCTGCCCATACTATAAGCATCCTATCAAGGGTGAAGGTTGCCACTTTTCTCTCAGCATTGAGCTCCAGTGCCTTGCAGTAGTACTCACGCACATCCACATTTGCTTGTGTTACAATCTGGAATTGAAGAGGATTTAATTGCTGTTGTTACTATGTGATATATGCAAGGAATCAAGATAACACTGTGAAGAGGCAAAATATTTTTATTGTGGACCAAATGTTAAGTAAACAAAACCAACTGGCATTTATTGGTTGCATAAGCCCTGAGTCAACACCTGGTAGAACCACCTTTTCTAGCAGTTACCCCTGATGCTGTTTGCTTAGATATGCTTTCTAAGAAGCTCTAGGCCTTCAATAAACCTACAGATCTATTGAGTCTGGGATTGCATAGCACTGAAATCACACATGGGTTTACCCCATTCAGTTCCTTACAGTACTGTACAGGCAGCGGCTTGCACCAGAGCTTCTTTAGGCATGTCACAGCAAAGGTAGTGAATATTTATGCAAGCAAAAAGTGCCAACATAAAAATGGCACTTGCCCCTTCACAGGTCTGATCATCTTCTGTATCTCATGGCAACAACGCCAATTAAGTCTATTCTACTTCCAGATTGCAGTGCATAACATGTGGAAAAGTCAAAGGCGGGCACATATTTATGTAAGCCACTATATGTAACACATTGCTTGCATTTACACAAAGGCCTGTAGTCTAAATGGCTTTTTTTTTTAAATTCAGCACCACTGAAAGAAGCACTCTTCCTGAGTTGATTAGTAGCAGTCTTGATTTTCCATCCAGGAAAAATAAGGTAGATCCATTTTGTCACCAAGAGCACTCACACATTTTTTAATTTTCAAATGTACAAAATCTCATCTTAAAACAACAACAATCGGGTATAGGAAATGTTGCATGCAGCCCACCTTCAGTGGACCCAGTCCAAGGAGCCACATTTGCAACATAATGCTTTGTTCCACTAATATCATATAAAGTATATGTACTGGTATGGAGCTAGATGTAAATATGCATCTATGCTTCCAGTGAGAGAAGGGAGCAGGAACGGTACCCTTATTTATTCTGGGATGGCTTATCCTAAAGTCAAGTGTATGGGCCTTACTTGTATGTTCATGTAGTATTAGCGATCAGCTTCCCTGTTAATATAGGTCAGCCTCTTTTGCTTTCTCAAATGGTATCTAGTGATGGACACTGGCATTTTTTTCCCAGCGCAATGGACTCTGAGGAGGGTGTGCACATGTGGAACAGCTGTGCAGTGGACCCGATACTCTCCTCTTTGCTCACACAGCTGGCCCTGATTGGGAAAAGTGATACCAACAAGACAAGGGGACTTGACCAATCATACAGGATAACCTATTAAGGAACTGATAGTCAATATGACCACCTACTTGAGGACATTCCTCAAACTCTAAAAAAGCTGGGATTGACCAACAGGCAAACCAATCTGTCCCTGTTTCTCCAGTATCTTCTGGGAAACATCCAGCAGTGGTTCCAGTTGGAAAAAGAATACTGAGTATCCTTTGGAACCTAGTGTAGGGTCAGGATAGGGGTAGGGTCTGTTTTGTTTCGGACAAGAGGGACTTGCTTTGCTTCAGCAGCAAGGCAGAGCCCTGGTATAGTTTTGGGATGTTGATGCAGCACTACACCTGGCAAGACTATCAGCTGGTCTGCTGGTGTAAGGCTCTTACAGGTAAGAACCACTCCATGTATGGTCTTCCATGTCTAGAAATGTTTCTTGCTCAAAGCTTTTGGGACATTACTGTAGCACTAAGTTGTAGTAGCATATATATCCTGCAGATGCTAGTGAATAAGACCATAAGCATGCTTAGTTCTGTTTGCAGAACAATGCCATTTCAGACCTCCCTTGTGCAGGCAAATTGAATTATTGTTGACTGTACATTTAATTCAGACAGCATTTGCATCTATTATATTACCTAAGTCCTCTGCCAGCAGATTTTGAAATGCATTCATCAGCCAAAGTTAATGCAAACAACAAAAGTGTCAAATAGAAATCAATGCAACAAGCTTTCACAGGAGCATTCATTTCTACTGCTTTCTCCCCATGAATATTATTTTAACATGTTATCACATAATTGCTGCTTATTTTTAATTTTAAAAGCTCTTTCCAGATCATCCTAATTCCAAAGTATTCCATTGGGTTGCATTTGGATGATATGAAACCCAGAAGACCAAGAACCATTAAGTAAATTAAAATAGAAAGTTTGGCCATAAACAAAATTAGAATATTATACTTAAGTCTTCAGTTATTTTTTTCTGATTCTGCCATGGAGAAAATTATTGTGGAAGAAGCTGCTTTGAGCATTTCGTCTTTAAACTCCTGGCTCTTGTTCTTTGGAGTTACAAAGCTGAGAAGGTCAACAGCTGTGGCCACACCAAATATCATCTGTTTCATGAAGGAACTGCCATCTGCATTGTCTGGAAAGTCAAAGAAAATAAGGAAGATTACGTATTGCTGATGTTCACAAATTAGAATGGAAGGAAAACTACAATGACATGTTATCTGTATTTAAGAACGTTAAAACAGCCATCTTAGATTTGACAAAAGACTTTACTTAGATGTTGTACTTTACTTTTCTGTTGTACAGTAGCTAATACAAGTTGGACATGAGTAAAGTACGCTCAGCTACTGGAGGTAATGTATAGCCATCCTCTATGAAATTTGATGTACAAATGTTCAACCATGTACATTCATTACTGTATCTTGTGGTAGCAAATTCATAGTTTATGATATGCTGTGTGAAAATGTGTTTCCTTTTATCTCTCCTGAATCTCCTACCAATCTCTGAGAGATGGTGAAACCTTTTTCTCTGTCCACTTTTCCCACGCATGCACAATTTTGAACACCTCTTTCATGAGGCAGAAGGGCCTGCTTGCTCCTTTCTTGGTTACACAGTCCACCTCTGCTCCGATTGCCCATGCTTGCCTCAATGTTGCATTCAAAGATACCACTGTCACATTATGTTTATTGCCATATTTTAGAAACAACTTACATTGTTCCAGCTCATGCACAACAATGGCAAAGTGATCATTTTCCAGGATTTGTGAAAGTTTTCCAAGGGTATCATCTAGGTTGATCTGTAGAGAAAAGACGCACGACGCATTTCAAACTAGCTGTATGCAGCCCTACATGGAAGAAGAAAGGTATGAACGGGATGTTGCATGTCAAGGACTTGCCTGCCCCATGGATTTCTTCAGGGAGAGCAGTTGTGCAAGGCAGCCTCAGCATGGGGGCCCTGGCTCACACGGAACCGTGGCAGCTCAGTTGTCAGGGCTGAGCCGGTTTGACAAAACCAGCATGCCCAGAAAGTGTTCTACTGTAATCTCTAAACTTGCATACCCTGACTGTGATTGTACATTTTAAGATAAATGCTGGAAGGATTCTTTTCAATACATCCAAATCAAAATAAGAGACTCTTGAGAGAAGAAAAAAATGTTTCCAAAACACACTGGGCAAAATAATCATGCTTTTCTTCAGGCACCTGAGGATTTCTTTCTTTTTTGTTCAGCAACATTTCCAGGCCTCCCCTTCCCTTTGTTTTCTGGCCTCAGAAGAACAGTCTCTTCTGATCTACTCAGCATAATCCCTTTTGTATCCTGCTGTGCGCACAAAGCCCACAAATCACAACTGTGTTTGGCTATAAACTCAAATATTCAACTGTGCTTATACACAGTTCCTCCATGTTTCTACATGGCACACAGCAGTCATGCATATAATCATGACATGCAAGGAAACACTGCTTCTCTGAGTGCACTTCTAGATAAGGCTTGCATCATGCAATTGCCCCACCAGTGCTGTTTTCGCCCTTTCTTCTCCCCCCCTTGCCTCTTTGCCTCCTTTCCCTCAGCTCCTGCCTTGTTCCCTGTATCCCCACAGCACTGGCTTTTCGGGACGTAGTTTTGCAGATCTGCCAATCACCTTGGAGAACTGCTGGTAGGTGATCTTCATGACTGGGTCTGAGAACTGGGCACTTCCTGCCAGGATTGAAGAGAGGATGTTGCTGAGAGTTACCATTCCCAAGATGAGGCTTTGAGAAAACAGATTTTTGCAGTTAAGGCTTTGGCTTGAAGGTGCTTCCAGAGGCTATTTTTATTGGGCAACTGCCCTGCCTCATCCACGGAATGTTATGGCAGGGCAAGTGGAGAATCGGGTATCGTCACCTTCAGTTTGCAGCCATTCCATGTTTCCCCCCTGCTTTTGGTGACTTTTGCTGCAGGCTATCCATGTCGAAAGGAAAAACAGAATAGCTGTGCTATGACTTTGGGTACTAGCACTGGAAACCCACCATCTGGAAGCACCCTTAGAAAATGTGGAACTAACTCCATGGCAATTTAATACCCAGGAGCAGGTACAGTGAAGGCATCTGGAGTAATGAGTCCCCAGTTGTGCCTCCAGCTAATAGGCCAGGTTGCCACCTTTTAAATTAGATTGCTTTGTATCCTTCACATTAGAACTTGGCATACAGATGTTTTTTCATCACATGAAGCCTTTCCGATCATGGATGCCCATGCTGCCTGGGGATAATGGAATTTGCAGTCCAATACATCTAGATGGTACTAGTCAAAAGAAGGCTTGCATAAGAAAACATGTTCTGTCCCTTTTCTGACTTTTGACAGCTTAAGCAAAGGCACTTTTATTTGGTTGCAGTCTGTCAGCCTTTTCCAGTATGATGCCATATCCTATTCTTCCATTCCATTCCATTCCATTCCATTCCATTCCATTCCATTTTCTGTTCTGTTCTGTTCTGTTCTGTTCTGTTCTGTTCTGTTCTGTTTTGCAGGGGGGAGCTACAACTCCCACAATAATGTCTGCATCTGACAAGAACCTGTCCAAACACCAAGTCAGCTCTTGGGTACCAGGCTGGGGAAGGCTTCAGTATGCAAGTTTTGTGGATGCCCTTCCTCCACTCCTCTGTTCAGGGTGATGCACATGCTTGTGTACATCCATTCAAAGACACACAGATGGTTATATCCAGTATTGCACAAAGTGGAAGAATTCCTAGAGTTGGCATTGTTCTCCTCACAGTTGCAAACTGCTAACAGAACAGCTTGTGCAAGGAACATTTAGCCTAAAGAAGCCATAATGGGTTGGGAAACACCTTGTGAAGCATCTCATCTCATACCTGCAGAATAGCTCACAAAAGAAAAGACAAAGTATTGGATTTGCCATTTGCACAAGGGAGGAAGCAGGGTCTCTGCGGGCAGGAAATGCTTTGGCTGGCAAAATGACACCACTGGATACTACCAGAAGGAATCAGCCTTGTGTAGCACAAGCACAGTTGCTGCAGCAGTAGGTGATGACAGCAGAACGGAGCGGGGATGGTGCAATTTGCCCTCTGAGTCATTTGCCCAAGCCTGCCCATATACTGGCTCACATGGGCAGGCAGAAGCAGGGGGTAGGGTTGTTGAGTCTAAGGGAATTCTCCGTACACTGACACTAAGCCAGTGACAACCTGGTTATTTCAAGTATTTATTTAAAGATCTCACTAATTCTACAGATAGTAACCTATTGCGCTTTACATCTGTAGAGTTGTGCAATCCTCTGGAAGACTACGGGTTGTTAAAACAAGCACTCCACCAGCAAAAGTGTTACCCTGATTCAGCAACAACTGGTGCCTGGTCATATCTCTTTTCACGGAGGATTTCAATTGCTTTTTGACAGTTCACATCTGGGAGAAGAGTCAGAGGAGCTAAGAGGTTCAGCTTCTGCACCTTGATATTCCACCACCTGTGAGATAAAAAGAGGAGCAAGTGTTACAAACTCCCAGAGATCAGCTTCTGCTTTGAGTTCTACAAATGTTATACTACCCACACAAAGCAAAAGTAGACAAGGATACAGGGCAAACTTGTATTCCACTTATTTTCGTTTATTATATTTCTAAACCACTGAATAGCCAGAGCTCTCTCAACAAGAAAATCAACAATAAAACCCATATTAAAAACAGTCAGGCATTAAAACATTGGGAAAATAAAAAGGGTTTAGCCTGGTGCTGAAAAGAATAAAGTGACAGCACCAGGTGAACCTCTCTGGGGAGCGTATTCCACAACCGGGGTGCCACTGCAGAGAAGGCCCTTCTCCGGGTAGTTACCCTCCTAATCTCCTTCAAGGAGGACCCCCGGAGAAGGACCTGCAACCCAGGTCTTAAGGGACAGGCAGGCAGGCACATAGGGAAGGAGACGGTCCTTCAGGGAACCAGGCCCTAAGCCAACATAAAACAAAATTATATATATATATATATATATATATATATATATATATATATATATAATAGAAATGAATATAAATATACAATATATTTAGATTATAACAGGCTAACAATATAAAAATCAACAATTCAAATCCCAGGACCAAAATCCTTATCATGTGCTGTCAAATGCTTGAGAGTGGAGGAAAGACTCTACCTGGTTAAACAAATATGGCAAGGGTGTTATCAGGGAGGCCTCACTGAGAATAGCCTCCGGAGACTACCGCCAAGAAAGGCCTCTTCCTTACTGCCCTCCTCTGAATTTCCCACAAAGCAGAAGTCATATAAGAGCAAAAGTACCTAAGGGATTTGTTCTTGGTCCAACAAATCATTTAAATTAATTCCTACACTGCCTTTCAAACATAGGCTAATTTACAAGGATATTATACTAGGACAAAAATATTAACCCAAATGTCATATTTCTGTCTCTGTCATCTCTTTCCTCTCCAGTTGTTACCCTTATTGTCTGTTTTCATGTCCTTTGTGTGCATTTGTGTTCCTTTCAGTTCTGTTGTTCGGGCAAGATTACCAGTTCCTAGAAGAAGCTGTCTTTTCTCTGCTAGCTTCCTTGACACTGCTCATTAATCATGCTGGTGCCTTCTTAGACTTGGTCTTACCTTTCCTTTTCTACAGTATATAATAGTTGTATTATTATTATTATTATTATTATTATTATTATTATTATTATTAATCTGTCCTCCACCAGCAATATTCCATTGTGGCATACACAACATCAAAAGTAGACAACAATCCTATGTTAAACCAAACAATTACACAATAAACAGCAAATTACATTCTAAGTGTGTTTTGACTGTTGTGGTTTTAAGGTTTCTCCAAGCATTTTGGAGAGATTTAATCCTCTTGATTTCCCCCCTTTTTACCTCTAACCTCATTTTAGAGAAGTGCCTCTAAGCCTTACCAAGGGTAATGTTCTTGAACATCCTTTAGAAATCCACTCTTGACCATCCATTTGTCATTTAAAAACTTTGACCTGGAGAGAAGTAAAACAAAAAACAAAGAAGTAAAAAACAAAACAAAACCCCACACCAAGATATAGTGTCAACTTGTTGTTTCATTCCAGTGCACCTTGATACATTTTCTGACCTTTCAGTCATCCACAGTCTTTCATAATAATTGTTGATGGAAAAGATAGCAGAGACAGAACAGTTCAAAAGGAGGAAACTGAGTCATTGCTTACCAAGAGGTTGGCAGAAAAGCTGGAAAGAAAAAAGCAATACATTGTGTTTGTTACCAAGAAGAAAATTGTGTTTAAAGGCAGAGTTCTGGTATATCCAGTGGGACGTTCTCCTCTATGTGACTGGGTCTGGATGGTCAGCTGAACTGCCAACAGCAGAAATACAAAAACTATAGACTTGGCTCTTGTGTTTAAATCATCAAAAAAGAACTTGGAGTAACGTCTAACACCAGGCAAAAGAACGCGATCTTTTAATATTTTTATAATTTAAATACTGATATTATTAATACTGTGGTCTTTGCTTTTATGGCAGCTGGGATTTATTTTAAAAGAACCCTTTTAAATGTGCTAGACTGGGCAACATACAAGTGAACCACAGAATCCATAAAATATGGTCAGGATGTATACTAACCCTCCCTCCCGCCCACCCCTAAATAATACAGAACCTAAAACCAGGACGCAGCAGATAATCTGACTGCACAGAGAGAAGTATCCAAAGAATACACTGTTGAAGAATGGAGATGGTGCAGGCCAAAGGACTTTCTGCTTCTCTGCAGACGGGATGGGAGCAGAGGTGACAAGAAAGGGGAAAGGGCAACAGTGAAAGAGGCATTTGCATTTGGGGGAACTCCGGATGCTTGCAAAAACAGCAAGGAAAGCACAGCAGATTTTGCAACCAAAAGAAAAGGAGCTGAGGGAGGGAGAGCCAGGATGCAAATCCCTTTCCTTACACTGCTTCTCCCATTTGCTATGGTCAATATGGCAATGAAACATACATAAAACATTTGCGTAGGGATCCCCATTTGAGAGTGTTCAGATATGAAACCATGAAGTTTAGGAAGCATATGATTTTAAATGTATTACTTGGGATGCTTGGGGCAGTGGTGGCAGGTGGAGAAACAGGGAGTTAGCCAGGGGCAGATGCTAAGCCTGTTCTGAAATGTGAACCTCCGCAAGTTGCCTTGCATTGGGCATACCACATTAACATTATAATCCTATGCATGTGTATTCATAAATAAGTCCCACTTATTTATTGACCTCCATGGTCAATGGAGTTTACTTTCTACTCAGAGTCGTCTTAACGCATGGGCCTGATGGGCACTTGCCCGTGGGCCCCATACTAATCTGTGTATGTTAACCCTTGGAAAATTGGAAAACTTCCAAAATTAACAGGAGTTGTAGTTGTCGTATGCGCCCCAGGACACTGCTTTGCCCGGGGCCCATCATGCTGTTCAGACGGCCCTGTTTCTACTAAGTGTACTTAGCATTGCTACTGAGGTCTCATTCAATAACAGGGAAAGGGAGACTGTAAGCTGCTTGCTTGCTTGCTTCAAGAACCACAAAGTGGTCTCTGCACTGCTCCGCAGAATCTCCTGACTAGCTTGTCCTATTTGCTCTAACCTAGAAAGTGACCACCAGCAAGCTGGAGTAAATTTAACTGCCAGTCTGCATGGATCCTGTACATGAATGGGGGGAGTGGGGGGGGGCAGGGAGTGTGTGTGTGTGTGGGGGGTGCTGATTTGTCCATCACCTTTGTCAATACGTTTGGGGCCACCCTTGCCCTAAGACTAATTCTCACTCTGAGTGCTATAAAACTTCTGCACCAGTTCCCATATTATATTGTTATTCTTTTGCATGTATCTAATTGCAACTGATTTTAATCTGGATTCCTTCAACCGAATTGTGAGTCTAGGATATCAGTAGTATTAGATCCTCATAGGAGGGTCGCCCATGGGTAAGTACAATGTGTCTGCTTCACTTTCACGCACAGCTGAATGGGCACCCACAGAAAGGAGCAAAAAGAAAAGCAGCACTCGCTTACATGTAGTTTCTCACAGAGTCGGGTAAAAGGACAACGCAGCGTTGACCCTCTTTTAACTGCTTGGCAACTTTCACAGCTGCAGCCATTGCACTTCCCGAACTACCTCCTGCCACACAAAGAGCGAAGACACTTTAGTTGAAACGCAATAAAACAAGGACCTAGGAGGTAAGAGTCGAACGTTGGATGGATATATGGAAAGGGGAACTTGGCCATCGTGCTGAATCCTCCTTAACCCCAGCCAAATTTTATATGTGGTTCTGCACCCCTGGAGGCAGGTCTGGGCCATCCCATCTAGTCTGACCCTTATTGAGCCTCTTAGATGATCATCCAAACATTGATAGAGCCATTACATGTTTAATATAACGGCTCTCTGAATGAGGGTGTTTCTGTTGTGACAGGATATTCCTGCACAGAGAGTGAAACCACTGGAAAATTGCTGGGGCAGCTAGTCAAACACACACACGTGCATTGCTCTATAAAGAGGCACGTGCAGAAATCATTTGAAGCCTTCATGAGAATGGAGAAACACCTTATTTCTCCCCATCCCATCTAATGTGTCCATTACCATTCTGACTAGAACGTGGTGCACGATTGCACGAGGCCCAGATAGCTCTTTTGGATGATACGTGTGACATCTTTTCCTTCCAAGTCACGTAAGAGCCACCCCCATGCACACTGGGGAAGGTCACAGATGGTCACACTTACATGGGTTTCGGATGAGTTATGTGTGGGCTCGGCTTGTGGCCATGGCACACGTGCAGCATTCAAGAGACGCCTGAGGATCTTGCACAACCACCTGCCGTGCTGTGCTCAGAAGAGCAATGGAGCTGTTGGATGGGCTGGATGGGGAGAGCATGCTGCTGCTCATGCCTGTGCACTGGAAAAGTGTGATCTGTGCAGCAGAAACACCTAAGAAAATACTTCTGGGCTTTATGCGGCAAATGCATAGGGCAGTACCTTACGCGGCTGGCAGACTGCCCCACCGGCACAAAGGGAAGCTAATGCTTCTTCACGCCAGGTGAATGGAGCTTATAGAAGGAACTCTGCTGACCTGTGGCAGCCCAGAAATATTTCTACTAGTTTTCACCAGATCAGGGTTGCTTTAGGAGGCATTAAGTTGCAATGGATCCCACTTGTGCAACAGAATGAGTGACAGTGCAGCACCGGTTTTGAAGAATGTCTACGGTTAATGCTTGAATGCTTATTGCATGGAAACCAGTATTGTGTGGTTACACCAGACCAGGAACTGGTTCTTGGTTTATCTTTATGTTCAGGATCTAAGCTATGTTTTCCCAGAAGTCATTTGTCATTTGTCCAAGGTATGTTAAAATTAAATGAGCTTCAGCAACGCTTACCACAAAGCAAGCCTTCCTCGCGAATCAGTCTACGAGCCATAAGAAAGGAATCTGTGTCATTGCTCTTGCTCCACTCATCTACCACCTAAAAAGGAAACAAAAGAGTTTCGAGCAGAGCCAAGCCAATACATTCCACTGCCCAAGACAAGGTGCCTTTCCCATTCCATGTTCAGAAGCCAGCTGGACTGGCAGCTGAATGTCACTCCAAGACTGGTGATGGGAGAGCTTCCTCCACCACACCTGAGAGCAGCAGGCTGCCACCAGCACTGTTACCTGAATCAGTCGCTTCACTCTTCCCAGTGGGAGGACCAGCCCTGACTTCAGGTGCTCTCAGGTTTGGCACCCTAATACATGTGGCTCTAGAGGCAGATCCTTCAGAGTTGCAAGTATTTTTGCTTATAAAAATGCAACCTTAATTTAGTAATTTTGGTTTTCTAACACATTGCCGATACCCATATTGAGCTTACCAACAGTGCAACAGACAAGATATAAGCACATTACTTAATCCACCAATTAGACTCTTAGCTGTAATAAACAAGGTGTTGGTTTGTGTGTTGTTTTGAAACCTACAAAACTTTCATCACCAGAGGGACAAAAGAAATATATGCAAAAATTATGGGACATGATGCCTTTCTCACACCACCGTCAGTGAGACTGTGATTTGATGCTCATACACATGGGAGTAAGTCACTGGAACTCAAGAAGAGCCCTCCAGATCAAGCCAAGGATCCACCTAGTCCTGGGGACATTCACACCAAGGCCTGCCAGATGCCTTGGGAGGCCCCCATGTGGGACGGAAATGCAAGAGCGCCCTCCTGGCCACGTTCCCAGGCAACTGGCATCCAGAGGCGTACTGCCTCTGGAAGTGGCAGGAACTTGGCATGGTCTACTTCCAAGTACACATGGACTGGATTGGGCTGCTAAAAAGCTATTGTCTGTCTCCAGTCAGAAAGGGCTTTTCTAAGTGTGGCTTTTAACGCACAATCGTATCATGGCTTCTGTTTCTGGGATTCTGTGGGATTAAGGTCAGAACCTGTACACACCTTTTTCCTTCTCTGCCTTTTTATATGTTCTGCTACAGAACGTCAAGGTAGTGGCACTGTAGAGTGGAGTTGTGCCACTACTCTAGTGAGTCCTTCTGCTGTTCCCCAAACTGCTGGACTTTCCTCAATTAAAACAAAACACAAAATTGCTTGGAAAGTACAGGAGCAGACTTAGAGGCACTTTAGTCATCCCAGTGTCATCTAAGGCACCTGCAGCTACCACAAGCGAGGATCTTGAGTGCACAATAAAAGCCTTGTGTAGAAAGGATCAGAGTCTGGTTGCAGAAGTGGTAGCATGCCACTTTGATCTGATCTGATTTGATCACAAAACACAATATGCTGTTTTTCTTGAACTTCTGCTATAAAAGGTCTTTCTTCAACGAGATGCTGCAGCTGCCTTCTAAGTCTCTCCTCTAATTAGGATTTCTAACTGCGCATCTAAAGACACATAAATAGCATCATAGTGTCATGGCACCATACCAATTTACATTCACTGAAGCATAATGTGTAGTAATGTTCAGTCACTTTCGGCAATGTCAATCAAATGCTATGCGGAGCCTGAGGCTGAGTGTTCCCAAGTTCAAGTAGAAACTATCCTGAATGTTTACATCTAGATTCACATTACATTCTTGTGCCTCCCTCGTCTGTTGCCTTTGGCACATCACCACTTACAGATCTGTCCAGGACTGTTGGGATAAAGTCGTGACCAATCCCTTCTACCTCCATTGTTGTTTCATCTGCTGAAATGGTGTTCAGGGAACTGGGCAGTGCAACAATGGAGCCATCTGGATCTACTCCAACGATCTGTGAAGGGAAATCAACGAGTCAGTCGAGATTTTAAAAGAAGAAGGGCAAAGTGCTGAACAGTGGATCAGCGTCATTTCATGTGTTATCCTTGTTTCAAGCTACGTGAAGATAAAAGAGGCTTTACAGGGAAAAAATAGTCTTGAGCCCCCTAAGGTTTAGTACGTCAGGAAATTTTCTTTAAATGAAATAGAGCACTGCAGATTTATGGTGCTTTTGCAATAATCTATTCATCTAAAAATAGAAAAGTTTATTAAATGTTATAGGGACACAAATTGTGATTCTGAAGAAATCTGCAAGGAATTCCAAAGAGTCTGAATTTCTGTGGATCTGATTTCCAGATCCTGCAACAATTCTGGCTTTTCTCAAGACATGTGGATTCTGAACACCTGAGAACCATTACTGGAGTTCAATGGGAGACTCAGAGGAAAGGGTACAGCAAGGTAGGGCAGCTGGAGGGGAGTGCAAAGTTAAATGAGTGAGACTGGAGTGTGTACTGGTGCATGTGTGGGTGTGTGAAAGAGAAATGACTGGGCGATGGATGTGCGTGCTTGTTCATGTATCAGTGTAAGGGATCTGAATGAGTGAAGAGATGGATGGGACATTGGGGTTGTGCATCTGAGAAGGAATTAATGGATGCTGAAAGGCCATCTATCAGGGATGCTGTAGCTGTACCCTGCAGGAGGAGCAGTGAGTATGACCAGAGGATCTCCACGGTCCCTTGCAATGCTGTGATTCTAAGGCTTTCACATACTTTGCATCCAGGACATTTCTCCTTCAGCTTTCTTGCCATTCCAGTGATGGTACCTCCTGTGCCAGCTCCGGCCACAAACATATCAACTTTGCCTACAGTTAAGAAAGTGGGAAGCAGACAAAGAAGGTCAGGCTATGTACTCCTCTAAATGCCAAAAAAGTCTCTTTCTATCCCTATAAAACAATAGTTATGGTCTCTTGATTGCAAGATCAGTATATGTGATCGGATGTAAGCACCGCCCTTTGGGATGCTAGTATCTTAACCAGCCTCAGCTGTACATTAAATGCAACCTGCCAGTCTGTGTCCCCTTGTTGACAGGGCCAATTCTTCACATTTCACATATTTTTATGCAGTAGAAATGGGTGGAACACCATGGTACCAGCCTGAACTGGGACTGTGCATGCTTACACTGGAGTAAAGAAACCTATCAGACACAGCTCCACTCTGCAGATGTACAAGAATGTTTAGGGTAGTCCTTAGACTGGGAGACTTTGGGAGCTCTTTCTTTTAAAGTTTGCTTTCTTGCTTTCTTGTGATCTATCATAAGGGAATAGGGAGGGTGAATTACTGTATGCAATTTGCTTTCCCTATTCACAGTAATAATTCACCAATTACAACTGGGATTAGGGGGAAGGAGCTACAAAGACAGCAACAAGCCATGTGGGCTAGATAATTAGTTATAGCCCAGCTGGGGCTGGGAAAGGGAGAACTTTGCTTAGCCTGGGGCTAACTTCCACTGCAGGGGGTTCTGGGGGAAGGGGAAGCAATGGGGATGGGGCAAAAATGTGATTCCAAAAATGCAATCCCGCACCAGTACATTTTGTCTCTAAGGTCTTACTGCCACTAACTAAGCCTGAGGGAAAGCTTTTCAACCTTTTAGAATGCAGTGAAAACTGCACAAGAGCTGGGGAACCACCGGAGACTGCAGGAAAGGAGCGGGACCAAGCTGTACTGGCAAGCGGTTTAAGCGGCTATGGGGCTACCACAGCAACCCTGACACTGAGCATTTTTCTATATGAAGCTTTTAACTGACCAATTTTTCATGGCTTCTGCATTCAGATTCTTTGTGGGATTATGTCTTGATCCTCCACACAGTGTTTTTTCCTCTCCTGCTTTTCTATAGGTTCTGCTACATAACCTCCAGGTGCTGGTATGGAATAGCAGAATTGTGTATTACACCAGCATTTTATTGCACCATTCCCCAAAAGGCCAGACTTTTCCCGATTGAAAAGCAACCGAGAGGCCCTGGAGGATGATGGCACCGTCTAACGCACCCCAGAGTGAGGAATCTCGAGGACTCAAGAAAGGATTCATGTAGGAAAGCCCTCCACGCGTCTGCAATAAAATCATGGGATGTGTGATTCAGTAGTGGCAACTGGCTACAGTTATGAGGCAAATCACAGTTTCTGTAGGCATTCTTGTAAAGCTAGGTGACCTGACGAGCACGGCTACCTCCAAAAAGAATAAGCAATAATAAAATAAATAGTGTTGAAAAGGTTGTCATGCATGATACCGTCGCATTGCTCCAGAATCTCTTCTGCCGTGGTGTCGTAGTGTGCCAGTGGGTTGCCCGGATTTCGATACTATTGTTGCAAAGGAAGAGAAACAAGGGAACATTTCAAAAGGGTGGGACCAAATGCACTTCTACAGAACTGGCTGAGGGATGCTGGGCGTTGCATCCAGCACCTCTAGCAGGTACCACATGGGGTAGGCCACTATGGAGAGCAGTCTGATGAAAAAGAAGATGGACAAAGTTTCTGGTCCAAACCTCCTGCCTCATGCAGCAACCACCAGATGCTGACAAAGCTCAGAAGCAAAGATAAAAGAAGGTGCAGCATTGCTAAAGGTTCGGGTGACTTATGGTGCTGTAAGGGCCTTTCATCAGTTTTGGCCCCTGTGCTACCTCTAACCCAGATAAAGATAACTTGGCCACTGCTTCCCACGCTCTAGTAACCCCCTGTTTGAGCTGCTGCGATGAGTCTGCAAGGTGGGGCTGCCTTTGAAAGTGGCAAGGACCCTTCCGTTAGTCTGTGAGATGACTATCTGGAGCTTGGAATTCAATCCTCTTATGCCGGTGCTTTGACAGTTGCACTGCCCCCCAAATATGCTTGCAGATCCAATTCAAAAAGCTGCTTTCAACCTTTACAGCACTAAGCCAATCCTATACATGCCTGCTCAGAAATAAGCCCCACTGAGTCCAATGGGACTGATTCCTGTGTGTATAGGTATGCAGCATAAATGGCTCAAAGATCACATTATCTTGCATAAAGGTGAAGGTGAAGGTAAAGGTAATGGTTTCCCCTTGACGTTACGTCCAGTCATGCCTGACTCTAGGGGGCGGTGCTCATCTCCGTTTCCTAGCCGAGGGAGCCAGCGTTTGTCCGCAGACAGTCTCCGTGGTCATGTGGCCGGCATGACTAAACACCAAAGTGCACGGAACGCTATTACCTGCCCACCGAAGTGGTACCTTTTTATCTACTTGCATTTGCATGCTTTCAAACTGCAAGGTTGGCAGGAGCTGGGACGGAGCAACGGGAACTCACCCCGTTGTGCAGATTCAAACTGGCGACCTTTCCATTAACCAGCCCAGCAGCACAGCGGTTTAAATCACTGCGCCACCTGCAGTCCCTTGCATATGCCTAGCCTAATTTTAAGATTCTGTTATACACATCCACATATCCTCTAGCTGGCTAGGGGGCCGGGGGTAGGACTGCTCTGCCCAGCATCACATATTTGGGCAGACCCTATGTGGGGTGACAGAGCCGAGCTGCAGGAAGCCATGCGCTGGTCACCTCTCCTTTGGGTTACTGCAACGTGCTATACATGGGGCTGCCTTTGGAAATGGTCTGGAACTAATCCAAAATAGGCTGTTAGTGGGGATTGGCTTTCGAGACCATATTTAACTAGTTAACTTTTTAATATTAGTTTTTATACTGTATTTTTGTACTACTGCTATACCTCTGTACCAACTTTATTGCAATTGCTACAGTTTTATTGCTTTATTCTTTTATATATTATTTTCTTTGTTTATATGTTTTTAACTTTTGTGAATTGCCCGGAGGACCCTTGGGCTATTGGGCAGTATAAAAATGAAATCAATCAATCAATCAATCAATATTTTTGAATCTCAGTATAAACCAACCAGAGGACTTAAAATTGAACTCCTCCAGCACCAGTACTAAAATAAGGATCTCTACAAGAAATCAGCTTACCTGATCCAAAATATGTGAGTTTGGGATTTCATTTTTCAGTTTCCATGCAACACGGACATTGGATTCTGGGGCATCATACCTTGTGCATGGAGTTCTTACAATCTCTGCCCCCAGGGCTTTCAGGATATCTACCTGGACAAAGAAAAGCAGACTGCAAATTAGCTTTCTGCACTGTGCTATTTCCAGCCTCTAGTTCTGTTAAAAATCTACATATATGAAAAAGAAAGGAACGGCTCCACTAACAATTTTAACAGTGAGAAGGACTTGGAAGGGAATAGCTGATCAGCTGCAGTTTGATCCGTATTCTTAAGTTAAATTAACTATATAGGGCAATCCAATTGTGAAAACAGAGATACAACCTTTCATGTGGAAGAGTTGAACTGATTACGGAATTTATACTTTAGACAAGCTAATAGGACTGGACAATGCATTTTGACTATCTTAATCTTCCAGATCATTTATCATGTACTGTTAGCCAGTCTTTGATGGATACAGGCCATCAGCAATGAGTATGTCAGCATTTCCTGCACTGCTGGAGGAATTAACTGGTTTCTTACGGAATGCTTGGTCTGCAAGCAGCTGCTTATAAAGTCTTACAAGTAAAGACTTATAGTAAAGTAGAGGTTGGTATATAGTAAAGTAGAGGTTGAGAAGGTAAGAGACAAATGGAATGAGGAACTGGAATGCTCTGTATGAAATAATTAATGCAGCATTGCCTTAGCTTTCATATGTACTATTTCTGCAACCTTAAAACTGAGAATGGGTCAACCTAGAGGGGTATTTTCCATGCACTGGACCTCACAGAGGCTTGGCAAGAAGACGCTGCTACTTCAGTGAGATGCTGGTGGTGCAGCAAGGACAATGCTGTACACGTCCCTGTCAAAACACACTCAGCCCGGTCAGAATCCCTTTTTGAAAGGCAGCTTTTTGATGGCTGTCAAGACAAAGTAAGGTAGATAAGGCTGTATTTGGAGCCTCTTTAGCTCCATGTCCAGCATTTATACCTGCTGCACTTTGATGTCAGTTATGCCCCAGGACCCAGCCCTGGTGAGGCTCCCCATCTTTGCACTTGCAGAAGAGCAGAAATCCACAGTTGCACAAATACAGCTTTAAAAAGAATTTAAACTATGAAAACATTTGAGCACCCTGTGGGTGTAATTTTTAAAGGGACCACTGACTGCTCCCCTAATGTTCCCCCTCGGCAGCATGAAGGGGGCTCACTGGCTGTCAAACAAAGATTGCCATCTCTGCCCTCAAAAGGATCAAGTGGGGAGAAGTTGTGGTCAGCAGAATTGCCTTGTGGTCACAGCAGGAGACACCTAGAGAAAGACACGTGCCCCAAAGCATCACCAGGGCACTTCTAGGGCAGCTGGCACTGTAAGTGGCCTGGGCCAACGTGGCAAGAGCAGCAAGGGGGTTTCGCCCCTCTTGTAAAGTGGCTCACTCATTGCTTTCCTTCAACCACAATAGGGGTGTTCACCCACGTTTTGATGACACACCAACCCATTGTGGGTGAAACAACCCCTGGAAGGAGCCATAGATTCTCAGGAGACTATGAGCAACCTGCTCTGAGGGAAACAGTCCGGCTTTGCACACCATGGCAACCCACAGTGGCACGTCACTCATGATGCGTCATCTTGTTCTCTGAACTGCACTTTGCTCCCTTGGATAGCTGAAATCTGCAGGGCATGGCAACATATATCGGACTGCTGTGTGTGCACACTAGCACCCCTCTAAAAGACCAAGAAAAATATACATTAAAAACAAAAATACATCTGTACACATTACTGGGGCTGAAAGAAATGATTAACCATGCCCCCAGTTGTGCATTTTTGAGAAAAAAAGAAAATGAGCCCTAAAATAAATAAAAAAGCACAAGCCTGGTAGCAAACAAAAAGGGGTATCAATTGAAGCAGGGACAGGGAGACTGGATGGGCTCGGCCCTGAGGAATGCCAAGATCCTAACCAGAGCACTGAGGGTGAAAGAGGGGAAGAACAACCCACAGCAAGCCCAGTCGTCGGTCAGGCACGCTATGAGTTGCTCTGTGAACAACCAGCCTGCCATGGCTTATTGCCAAGGCAGCTCTGTGCATTAGCAGAACACAGTCACTATCTCAGCACCGGATGATGGGCTTAATCGACAGCACTGCTGCTAAGCTGGAAGCTGTTACTGCCCTGTGCCTCACAGTTGGTTGCCCTGATTTGAGAAGTGTTTCGGGTGACTCTAAAAATGCAAGAGGGCTCTTTCTGAAGAAATTGCTCAAAAGGATACTGCTCATTTCTAAAGTCTCATTTTATGAAAAGCAAACATGAACCCTGAGTCCTGCCATCCCGTCCGTGCAAGGAAGTTCTAGCTCCAAAAGATCACAGATAAGCCCCAGTTGCCATGCCGACTCATCTCTCCAGGGAAGCAGAAAGATTCCGGGATAGCTCAAAACAGACCTGATAAAGTTTTAAATCATGACCTTGTTCTGCCTCATTCACAGAATTGTGCATAAGGTCGGAATGGCACCAGCTTCCACCCACGGCCTGGCTGGCCATTAGCACTAAAGCCCCTCATTCAGGAAGTGCCCTTCAGCTCTGGCTGCGCCCTCCGTGCCAAGCCAGCCAGCCGGGGCTCACCTTCTCCATGCTCATTTTCTCCGGCATGACAATGATGCAGCGGTAGCCCTTCACAGCAGCAACCAGGGCCAGGCCGATCCCTGCGGAGTAAGTGGGAAAGAAGTAAGACAAATAGGAATTTGAGGAGCAAAGCAAGATGCCCAACTGGCCTCTCTCACCTGTTTCTTAATGCAGCAGCTGTTGAGGCTTTGAGACAAAAAAAAAAAAAAATCAACAGATTATTCTTAGGTTTGCCATCTCTGATATTCATGGCACATCCCCAAAAAACAAACAGAAACCAAGGAGGTAAGGCCTCCTCACCTAACCCCAGCATGAAAGCAGACATTTCCTTCCTGGTGATGCCTTGTAGGGGCTCCCTGAAGAAGCTAAATGAATATTTCTTGAATCCCCCCAAATGTTCTCAATTATTTGCAAATATCTTTTTAATGCATCCCTTTCTGCAGGTCACCACAGTGACGTGTGGGTGGCAGTGGGGACCTTGGGGGAGCTAAAGGGTGGGGGTGCCTGCTGACAAAGCCCAGCAGGGACCCACACTATCCACAGTCTCCCCAAGGGGGCAGGTAAGTAGATTCCCCCCATTACCCTTTTGACGCATTTGCTGCCTGCCAGACTGAACCCTTGGATGCTTCAAAAGCCTAGAAAGATTGCTGCCTGGGAAAGGGTGGCCACAACCCCACAACACCTACGCAGGTGATTTTCAGAGCAAGGTTCCTGAAAATGTTGGGGCTGCCAACTAATTAGAGTAAAATAATAATGACGATGGTAGTAAAAATAAACTGAGAAGCCTTTCCAAGGTACTGCTGGTGCACTTCAGAGGGACTGCTATATGACAGGTAAATTAGGATTGTGGAAAGTCAGCTTGACAAGCAGCTTTCATGATCTACAATAGAATAGAATAGAGTAGAATAGAATAGCCCTTCATAATGCATGACTGGCTGGGCTTGCAGCATACAAACAACAACCAAAGCACTGTAAGTTGGAGGCATAGAAATCATTCCGTTATAATTTTCAACACAACCAATTCCCTTTGCAAAGCACAGAGATGTCTGCAAGTTTTTGATCCAAATAAATGAGAACCCCTGAAAGGCATAAAACGGCAGTCAACTTTTACATGACCTGAGTGAAAAGTTGATAAGATCATAACGCATTGCTTTATGTTTAGAAAAAAGAGCAACCTGTTTCTAAAGGGCAAAGCAGAAATAGCATTAGCAATTGAGATGCCTAGAGAGTGCAAAAAGAAAATTGTGGCCAGTTTGTGTGTTTGCAGAACAAAACTGCACAGACGTAATCCATCGCTTCCAGTGACGAAGCTTGCAAAGTGTACCGGTGTCCTCAGATTTCATGAAGGATGAGTGACAAAGCCAGCTGTCTCTTCATTTAGGAGAGGCAGCTAAATGGGGGTTTAGCGTTAGGAGTCAGTGAAAAAGAGACATGAAGCACTGCTTGCCCTGCTGTGCAGAGCGATGCCTGAGCTGGACGTTCTGCAATTTGCAATGTGACTTTACAACAATTCAGATAGTTGAATTTGATCTAGAGCAAAAGAATGTTCAGAAATACAAAGAAGAGCAGTGGGGCAATGACCAGGAATGCTGCTGCTGGAGAAAAGCAAGCACAGCTGCTGTTTTGGTAACTGAGGCTGCAGAACACAGGGCCACAGAATGTGCTTTGCGCTCTCCCAAGCCTTTTCACAATGCTTTTATTCAGCATGCCTGGGAATAATACTGAGGATGCCTTTGACTCCCTGGGATGCCAACTGACTTTTCTCTGACTACTGATTGAAGCTCTTCTGGGACCTTCTCCAGGCAGCATATGGCGAGTCTTTATTCATAGCATATTTGCTTGTGAAGCTCCACACTTTCATGAGTAAACACAATGGGTTATACTGAAACCATTTCACTGAGTCAAAAACGTAACTACGGAAAACAGCTCTAATACTCTGGACCTTAAGCCTGCAGCCCTCTATCCACTCACAGGACCCAGTGGACTCACTGGAATGGAATTCTGTGTCTAAAACACTGCAGTGTAATCCAGAAAATATTCTGGATTCTACCCAGCAACTCAAGTTACTCTTCTGATGTGACGATTCAACTCACAGGCACAGCAGTCTGCATAAGCACATTTGTTTTGTGAATCCTTAATTTTTTAAAGCTGTTTTCTTAATTCTTGCTGTGCGTTTTTAGCACATGAACCCTGGCTTCTTAAATACACCCCCTTCCTAAATTTGCACTGAATCACAGGCATGCTCATATGGCACCGTAAAAGCTGAGGATGGAAATGTGTCTTGTCAATTTGTGACTGTTTAATGTTCTTCATGGGCTGTACGCTCCACTCACTAGCTCTGAACTAGACATCTTTCCTGCTCACAATAGCAACAAAGGGAGGGACAGGGAAGACAGCAAAGCCCAGGCCCCCATCAGCAATGCCATTCCCCTTCAAGAGAGCTCTCCCCATGCACTATGGAGGGACGGCCTACCACCACACTGGCACTGGTGCAGCGCTAAAATTAAAGTCGCGACGGGTCGGACACGGCTTCAGCAAAACAACAAACATTAAAGTCAAGGGTGATGTTGAAGGGCCTTTCCAAAGCAACTGCAGCCTTTTGGGCAGGGGTCTTGCATACCTGTGTTTCCTGATGTAGGCTCAATAAGTGTGTCTCCTGGTTTTAGAACACCAGCTTTTTCTGCATCTTCTATCATCCTTATGGCGATTCGATCCTTCACACTCCCACCAGCATTGAAATACTCACACTTGGCTACTGGAATATCAAATCAAGCCCAGATTAGAACTTAGAAGAAAGATTTCTACTATTGTTACCAAGTTTCCCGAGACTAAGGGCATGATCCCATGCATGTTTAGACATCTGTCAATAGGACTGAGCTAGATGGACCAAAGGTCTAACCCAGTATAAAATGGCTTTTATTTTGCAGAACTGGGTGTTTGTGCTTGCCCAGTAAGATACACATGATTTTTCCCAGTCCCAGACAAATAGCAGCAGTGGGGTGAGGGTTAGTGTGTGAATTTTAGACCAAAAATGGCATGGTCTTCCACAGCACTGCTCCTGTGGTCCAGTTCACCCCTCTAGTAATCAAGTAATCTAGTAATGTCTGTCCAGCAAAGGATGTAGGTTGCCCCGAAATTAAATAGACTTGTTACAGTGTGTGAGGAGAGGATGCTGCAAATTAAATATCTGAAAAGTTAGGGGATACTTTTGTAGAGAGGATATTATTATTATTATTATTATTATTATTATTATTATTATTATATTGTCTTACTGAGTTAGTATAGCAAGAGTGGGAGAAGAAGTAGCCACAGATGCAAAAAAAGGTTCTTTCTGCAAGGCTATCAAAAGAACAGTTCTGTCTCCTCTAAAATCCGTCAATTCTGTTGCACTTTCTCTTCTCATGGCTTTTGACCAGCATTCTGAATGCCAGCCTCCTGCATCCTCCAGATGTCATGGATAACCAGTGGCCATTTTGACTGGGAGAGAATAGGAGTGATGGTCCAGCACATCTAGAAGACACCGGATTGGAACAGTTCCTGTATGCAGTGTTGGTTGATAGTGCTTATGAACTCAAAGACATCCTGTACTCCTTTACTGTCACTGTAACTTCTGTAACACAGCATAGAAAACCTGACAGAAGAGAAGGGGCAAAAAGGTACGCACAGAGCTCACACTTCAGCCCATAGGCTTTGGCAATCTTGTTGACACGGATCATTGGTGTGTGTCCAATTTTCTGCAAAATATTTGACAGTATCTTTGGTTCTTTCTGTCTGCATTGGGAGGGAAAAGATCAAAAGATCTGATGAAATAACATTTATGATTAGCAGTGTCATCATAAAGCTGTGTACCTTACTTTTCCCTCCCAAAGGAAGTCTGAAGTGGCCAAAAATATCATGCAGAGATACTATTCTATCTAGAGTTATAGCAAGAATTAAAAAACCCAAAGAATTACCTGACTTTAAAACTGTTATAATGAACACAATAAACCTATAAACAAAGTTCCAGTTAAAGGCTTGAAAATACCAATTCAGTTAATAATCTAAAAATCACAAACAATATACCAGCACGTGGCACTGAGTAATATGTATCTGTTGTTTTAGTTTAAAGCATCCTCTTGAACTCCATTCCAGAAGCCAATGTGCAACCACTTGGATTTATTGCTAAAGGAGACCCAGCAGAAGAATGTAGTATTTTGTGTGCTAAAAAGCCAGTGCTATACAAAGCACAAACATTTCAGACGGTACCTTGACCGGCAGACTGTGATAAGAAATGGAAAATAGAAGCAAAGACTGAGAGCTGATTGACCTGTTGTGGCCACCAGGAGGAGACAACCGAAAATAATTCGAAGTGGCAGTGAGCAAAGCTTTGCACAAATTGCTCAAATCAGGCTGTTGTCTTTATAAGCCCATGAAAGCCTCACAAGAAACTATCGCAGTGATGTAGAAAAAATTGGCTGCTCTGTTTGGTTTGCTGCTGCCCACTGATTAGGGAAAGATGGATTTGTGCCACTTCTGCATGTTTCCACTGTCCCATAGGACTGTACATTTAAAAATAAGTCTCGGAATAGTTATTTAAATGTGAATTTCCGAAATTGAAAATATATATTTTCATAGGAAAACGTGAAAATAACTGCAGTGCGACTTTAACATTAAAGCAACTGAGCAATCAGGAAGCTCCAAACAACTTCTTGAAATCTTTGACTTCCCAGTAGCTCTTTTTATTGCAGGAAGCATTTAGGTTACTGATTAATGTTATCCTGCATAAGTAGAAAATTCTCTCTATTTTTGGGAGCACATACTGCCTGTACATTTGACTAAAGAAGGACAGAGTTTTCCTTTTTCTCCCTTCTCTTATACTTTGCTAATCTGAAAAATCCCTTAACATGGCAGCTGAGAAATTCTTACGTGATACTAAATCTACTAACTCTTTCAGCTACTAAATCTCCTAACTCTTTCAACTCTTGGAGTGCATTTTGCTGAAGTTAAGCCTTTGTATATTGTGGCCTACACTGCTGCTTGGATAAGAGCTTAATAAAATGCTGTTTGCATGGGGGAAACCTCTGTGCACACCTCTTTTATAGATGCCATAATCCACAAAGCACAGTTCCCACACACTGCTGCACCCAGTGACACCTTATCTATGGGCATCCAAGTCTTGTTTTATTATATTTATACAGGACTTTAATAAGCATCCCAAAGAACAGGACCCTATTTGTGTCAGATTGAAAGCTGTTATCAGTGCTAGGTGCAGAACATCACAACTTGTTCTGACGTGAGAAGCTCTTAGACGAGTATCTCTGTTTGAAGAGCTGTCCAGGCCAAGTCCAGTTTAAAGATAAAGGTGCACTGAAGGAAAGGGACTTGCCCAGCAATCGTGCCTGGAGAGCAGGTTGCGCAAGGCACGCTAGTGGGCAAGGTTGAGGCCTTCCACTCTATGGTGAACATACTGCATTTCCGTTTGAAATACGATTATTTCTAAATGTGGACCCAGAGGTATAAAATAACACATGCAATTTGGTTTCCTCTTTTGCCCCCATCTTAATGGTAGGTGTTGTTTTTTAGAGTGTCTACCCTGAATGCAGCAGGCATAGTGAAAACATTCTAGGTTTTGTGTTTTGAGAGCACAACTTGCAGTTCTGCTCACATGTCCTGTCCCATGGCAAGGCAACTCACATGTACAAGCAGAGTCGTCCCTGGTGCATGTGAATCATACTAAAACACACACAAAACTCCTCTGTACATTCAAGTGAAAAGAAACAGCTTGAAGACAGGGGAGCCTTGAAGCAACCCAAATAAAAATAAGATGATTTAATTGATCACTGGGGAGTCTCCCAGGGAAAGGAGCGCTTTTGCTTTTTCCAGGCCATTCTGCAATGTCCTCATTTTGTACTGAAGGTCCAAAGAAGGCTTGTAAACTGCCACAGGGAGAAATCCTATGGTTGAGTCAGGATGAGTAGGAAGCACACAGATTGGGAATGGGAATCAGAATCATTTGTACATTGCCCGGCACAGATGTATGACCAACCCCTTGGAAACTACACTGTGCTACATCTGAGCAGATTTGGCCCAGGATATTTTGCTCCTGTGGTGAAGTACAAGATGGTGTCCATCATCCCATGTACATGTCCCAACCGGAAAGACAGTTGAATCATTCCTCAGCACTGACTTGAGAACGTAAGGAGAGGCCTGCTGGAGCGGACCTATCTAGTCCAGCATTCTGTTCTCTCAGTGGCAAACCAGCTGCCCATGGGATGCCACAAGCAGGATATGAGCACAACAGCACCCTCCTGCCCAAGCTCCCCAGTAACTGGTGTTCACGCACCTCCTCTGGATATTGACAATACATTGACCATCCTGCACCTTACCTGAAGGCATCAGGCTAGCTTCAGGATACATGGGAGACCATGTGGCAAAGCTTTCTCCTCCAACACCTTGCTGCTGCCTTCCGGCATCTGCTGCCAGAGGTTGCCACATCACTCTGCCTAATGGAGACCTGGTCCTTCTTCTGAGCCAAAACTGTGCTTGACTATGTTCATGGGACCACTGATCAACATCTTGCTTCTGATCTATGCAATACATCCTGAGAAGAAACCTCTACTGAATAAAGTGGGATAAGCAAAGAAAATAGCGTTGCTACTTACAAAGGCACAAAGCTATGAGGAGACTTGGAGGTGGGTTTTCCTAGTTCCCATGTGCATTTGCTGGGCACATTGGGTTGAATCCATGTATTGTTTGCATTGACTTCTGGGTTTTCCACATCTCCATTAAGGAAAGGACAAACGTTGATTGTTTTGCTTGATGTGAAAACGGAAGCCATCATGAACTAGAAGGTGATATAGAAAAACAAGCAACCTCTGTTTATTTACTAATTATTTAACAAATATTTTTGAATCAGTTACATTAAATAGCTTTCTAAATGAGGCTAAAACCCAAATCTTCATACAGATGCCAAGGCTATAGTGCGAGGAAGGTCTTTTGTAGAAGGGATGTTTCCATTAGGAGCCAAAAACTCAGGAGGGTTGACACCTGTCTAATTTGTAGGAGGTGGCATCCAGAGGGTGGGCACTAGGATACCTAAGCCCTAGCCCAATCCATGGGAGCCTGGACCGCTGAAATCTTGGATACTGCTAGGCGAGCACAGCAACTGATCAGGCTGGTAGGGGACTGGGCATTTTCTCACATGAACTCTGGTCAAACAAGAGGAAGTACCATGCTTATTTAAATATTTTGATTTAAATGCTCATTAGAAATTGCTGGACTTAAACTCCAGTGCTCTGCTGCTCTGCTGGGCTGATGGACTTGCAGTTCGACAGCCTCAGGAGGACCTCATGGCCTACATAATCATTTTGGAAAAGGCAGAAGAGCTGTCTGGGCAGCCATGGGATAGGTCAAGACCCCGGTTCTAACATCAGAAATGTGTTCCAAGGTTGGTGTTCAGACCCTGGCTGAGGACCACCCTTCCACACACAGCACAGCCAGTGTGGTTCTTCCTGCACAAGCTGTGTCTCCAGAGTCACAAGCGCAACCTTGGAAACAGCGTAGAGCAGAATTCCAGGGCAGAAAGGGAGGCGTGAAGCTCCATTGGGGTATCCCAGTGAAGCCTCAGGCAAGCCGGGGCAAAAAACCTGGAGAGCCAAAATCAGCCATCTATGGGTTTTTGCAGGGTGGGAGAAAGGGGGGGGGGCAATAGTTGCCTCTCAGCTGGATTCCCACAATCCTCTGAGTTCAGAGACTTAAATTAAATTAGGAAATCTCTTTAAACACTAATAAATGCTAACAGATCCACCAAACCCACAGGTCAGACACTGGGGTAAAATCTGGTGATTGCATGGCAACTACTAATTACATGGCAACCTCAAAGGCCGGCTCCTTTGTGAATTACCAGGAAGACTTGTAAAGGAAAACATTGGAATGAGATACTGTCACATCAAAGAAAGCAAAGTTAAAGTGAGCGCCAGTCTTTTCAGGATTCAAAGGGTTTCAAAACACTTTTGAAAAACTTCCCTTATTTTGGGAAGGATGAGGAATGTGCAGCCCTCCAGAGGCTGTTGGACTGCAACTCTCACAATCCCCCAGTATTGGCTGTGGTGGCAAGGGCTGCAGCATGTCCAACAACAGCGGGAGGGTGATGCCTCCCTCGCTACTGTTTCAGGGTTTCAGGCTTTGGGTACCACTGCTGGCCTCCAACCATTCCTGTTCTGGAGGATGGAAGCTGCCATCCTGTATGTTCAGCCCCGAGAAGAGAAGGCTGAGCGGAGACATGATATCACTCTGCAAGTACCTCAAAGGCTGCCACAGAGAGGAAGGTCAAGATCTCTTCTCACTGATACCAGAGTGCAGGACATGGAATAATCCGCTCAAGTTGTGACAACCCAGATTCAGGCTAGCTATCAGGAAAACTTTCCTCATTGTCTGAGCGATACAACAGTGGAACCAGCTGCCTAGAGAGGTCATGGGCTCTCACACACTAAAGACATTCAAAAAGAAACTAGACAGCCATCTGAGTGGGATGGTGCAAACTGGTTCCAGCAACAGGAGGGGGTTGGGCCTGATGGCCTTCTTGGCCCCTTCCAACTCTACTATTCTATGCTTCTATGTCTTTTGACTGCCATTCCCACAGTGCCACTAGCTATTCAATCAGGCTCCTTGGTGCTGTGATAGACACAGGAGAGAGCTGCAACCATCTTCTCCACGCACACCTGCGGTCAGATCACTCATTCTATTGCTTCCCTTTCCCATGGAAATCCTTGCTACAGTTCAGAGCATTTTTCATGAACGCAGAGACACACTTCAGTAATGATCAGATATGGCATTGCCCCATGTTGTCATCAAGTTTATCTAGCATTTTCTACAATTCACTTCATCCTGGGTTTAAAGGTTTAAGAAATATATAAATAGAGTCAGACTTTGATTACATTCAAAATACTTCAACAGGACCAAAGTACAACCATACAGATACGTGCAAGATTACCACAGCAACCATCTCAGAGGAATCCCTCTGCAAGGTCAAAAACCCCTCAGTAAAATATTACTTTGATGGTATAAAATCTGAAGATGCCATAAAGACATGGGAAGCCCCTTTCTCCATGAAGCATGACTTGCCACTGAGCAATCCTTTTAAGAAAGAAGTATCATTCCATTCTCTATATAGTTTGCCTTTAAACAGAGAGCAAACAGAGGACTTCGCTTAAATCTAAGGGTTCAGCTTTGATTGTGATACTTACCCTGACTTTGGACTGAGAGCATGTTATCTAGAGAACTGGGAACAGTTTGTGTGTGACCAAGTGCCATTTTGCTTGTGCAATTCACTAATTATCCATATATCACCCACATCATTGCTAATCTTCATTGGTTTACCACATTTTTTACATTTATTTCATTTTTGATAAGTGTTTACCTGCTTTCCAAGTTGAAAAATGCATAAACAGATAGGATGTTTTTTGGTATTTGTGTCCATCAAGCTGAAAAGTCTGGGTCTGCTAGGAAACTGTGAAACAGCCTAGAAATGAAGTTAGATGCGACTTTGCATTGAATATGCAGGGCATGGAGCAACAGCTGCAAGAGCTGAGGGGGACTGCTATTGAAGGTGGTGTGGAGTGGCAGATGGCCTTTTCTTCCTTCTCCCGCTGTGATCCCAAGAAGAAATCTCTCCAAAGCTGGTATTTGCAGTGGGAAAGGATCCTCTATCAGCACAAATGAGATTTGCCTTTGAAAAAACCTGCACTTGAAATGCAAAGATGCCTCTTAATGTCACACCTAGTTTTAACCCTACAGCTTATTGCAGAGCTGGGTACATATCTGTGGCAGTGGGCAAATGTAGCAATGTGAGAAATGCCAGGGAAGATATGGCAAAGAACAAGAAACTTGTCCTGAAAACTGATGACAAGGCAAGTTGGGGCCTCAACTCCTTTGGACCGGTCGTTTTCAGCACCAACAGCAGCCAATTTTACAGTTATTCCAACCACCAGCAAGAATGTAATCTCACCACCCTTTCTTCTCCCACTCTTCAGACCAGTGGTCTTACTGGGGTTTTGCATATTTGTGTATTGATGCTCTCAGGATAGCTCTGCCACAGCAATAGGCACAGAGTCCATGCGGAAACCAGAATTCCCACATGAGTAAGAGCAGACGGCTTATGTCTCCTCTTCTTAATGAACTGGTGTGTAAAGTAATTGCCTGTTTCACTTCTGTCTTGGGATAGATCATGAACGCTGCCAAAACTCTGCCAAGTGATAATTGCTCGGCAGGTTGCCAGGTGGGACAACTGCTACAACTTGTGGTCACAGTCAACTTTGCGACGTACCAGTCTGTCCTCACAAATGCAATAGCTAGCAGTGCCGTTTGAAGATCTCTATGGGTGCAAGTGATTCAGCATGGGAGCCACTTGGATATATGAAAACGATTTTAATTTCACTGTTTGCATCTGTGATTTACAACCTGGTAATTTCCTTGGACTACTTAACTTTTAAATAAGGCTACCTTTGATGAAGAGTGTTGAGACATTTCAGATATTTCAAAGTTTGGCATCTAGTTTATTGGTTGAAATGAGCCAGTGGCAGTGACACCACAGGAATATGGAAAGAATCACAATGACTCTCCGTTCACTTGCAAGAAAAATGCATAGTGCTGGTATTAATCTTGAAACCAAATCTAGACTTGGCCAGGGCATCTTAGGACATGGTGGGCATCTTCTGGCCCTCCACATGTTGTGCCTTCCATTGTCCTTGTTCTTTAAAGCCAATGGTGAGGGACACTGGGAGTTGTAGTCCAAGGCACCCAGAGGGCCACAAGTTGCCCAGCCCTGTTCCAAGGAATCCTACTTGGTATACTGAGGGATTCTTAGGGAGGCTTCCTCCAAATTCTCTGTCCATCAGGGGTTAGATCAGACAAAACAAGTAGGGACTGTCGTGATGGCAGCTTTGCTGTGAAAGTCCCCTTCAGAAAAGTACTGAGCCTGTTCACAAAAATATTCACACAACACAGCTTCTTTGAATTTACTTTAACTACCAGTTTGTCTAGACAGTAAAGGTTGGGAATTACTAAATAATGCACAGTTACTTGGAAATAGACCCAATTGAATACAGTGGTACTTACTTCTGAATGAACACACGCAGGATTGCTTTAAAAAGAAAGCTTGCTACAGTTGTGCAACAAAAATGCTCAGACCTTTACTGTCATGGGCCCACCTAGGTTCTGTGTTGAACTGGTGCAAATCTGGAAGTCATATTAACTTTGATTGAACATTGAAGAGCACACCATGCAAGATCCACTATGCGAGTGGTACTTTGTGTTAAAAGCTGGATGCCTGTGGGCCATATGTCAAAGGCACAAACAAGCAAAGCAGCTAGGTGCCTATTTTAAAGAGGACTATCCTCTATTTTGGATAGTTTGTAGAAGTCAATCCTCTATTCAGTGGTGTCCTCTAGTTGAGGAGCTTTCTAATCCACTCCAACGTAAATTCAAGGACTATATGGAGGGAAAGCATCAGCGATCAGCATTTGGACAGCACTGAGACCACCTGGCCAGTCTTGCTCACTATGGCAAGATGCATTTCATTTCTACCTAAATGGTCTTGATTATTTCTGAATTTGCTTCTGTACACATCAATTTACTTATGTAAACTTACTTATGTAAATTGATGCCATCTGTTGGCCCTTTTCTGGTGATGCATTTCATGAGCACTGCCAGTCTACAATCAACTCAGGGAGCCAGATTGCAAAACAGCACAGTAAATTTGCCAGCATGGATGTGCAGTCAGGAGTTCTGCTCAGTCCCGCGCCAACCAGTCAAGAAACACCACACCTGCGTTTGCAAAGTGAA